TTCTGGTTTTCACCCCAAGGGGGGGGGTTTTTTGGGAAAATTTAAAAAAAAAAAAAAAAAAAAAAAAAAGAAGAATGTAATAAACTAAAAGAAACTTATTTGCACAAACAACAAGGCTTATTAATCTCCAAAAGTAAAATTCAAGCACTTTTCACAGTGTTCAAACTTTTCCAGCACTACACTTTGGAGACAAAAGCAAAACAAATGAACTTAAGAAATCCATTTCAATTATCAGCGAGGTAATACAGCAAGATTTTAAGTTACAGTCCCTCTCACACACACTTTCTACAAAAACAACACACTAATTAAAAAGATCCCCTCATTTCAATAACTGTTTAAAGTATAAAATAGAAAAACGCTCTAAGTCATCGAGCCAGTAGGACAAACAGTCCAAACTAATTTTAAGATAAACAACCTTTCTGCTCAAATTAAACAATACACAAAGAAAGTCACCAAAAAAATCTCTTAAAAAATATTCTCGCTAAATTCTACGGGATTTAGCAAAATGTAATAATTTTGGTGATTCTAACTTAACCAAAACAAGAAAAGTTTAGTCTGATTTAACTGCAATAAAAAAAAAAAAATCATAAAAAAGATTTAACTTAATCACAAAACTGTGCAGGGTGCACATAAAGCATTTTCCAAACCTTGAAGGCACAGAATCAGAATTTTTAAGGAACCCGAATCAAAACATGTGATCCACAGACTCACCAATCTTTTGGAAGGAGAAATGATGCTTTTGCTCGGAGAGGGAGAAGCAAACTTGATGTGCGAAATGGTGGCGCTGGTTTCTGTGAGACGAGCCGGGCTGGAGTGAGTCGGTCCTCGCCAAAGGTTCACCTCCTGCTCCTCTTCCTCCTCTTCCATGTGCTCCTGGGTTTCGCCAAGCTGCTGATTTACGTCGTTCAGGAGGTCCAACACTTCCTCCATGGACACAGGAAGCTGCAGAGCGACACGTTAGCAACGAGACTCAGACACAGGGGTAAAAACAACAAGGACAAATTTATCAAAATCCAAATGAGGAAATTTTATGACTCAAACTTGCAACCGACCCTTTCGATGTCGTCTGCGTTGGCGTTGTAGATTTTTGACAAGTAGTTCCTGAACTTCCTCAAGAAAGTTAAACACCTGTCTTGGGTTTCCTCCACGCCGTTGCTGGCCTCCTCTGCCAGCCGCTGATAAATCTGCAAAAAGTAATAAAAATAAAAGTTGTTCATGACCAGATCTGGGTAGCAACCAACTACATTTACTCAGTTACACTTACTTTAGTAACTAATTTTTTTTTATTACTTTTTGGAGTATATTTTACTGTGCTGTACTTGTTTTGCTTGAGTAAACTTTCTGGATACTTTACTAACTTCACTAAATGAATGCTTTAACCAACACAGTCACAAATCTGTTTTTATTCAAGTTTCATATTGATATAAATTGATTTGGTGAAAATATTTCATTTGCCCGATTTTGTTATTTTATGTTACTTTCTTTTTTGTCTTCAAACTTTCACATAACTTTATAACTTGGTCCATCTGATGATGTAATTTTAAATATTAAATGACTGATGTTTTTAATAGTTACCCAGACTTTTTACTAAATACTTTTTCACTTCTATTTGAGAAAAAATATGTTTTTGTAGTGTTATTCTTTCTTGAGTACAATTTTCTCATCCCAGAAAACTGTAATAAAAACTGGTTCATATATTTCGTAAGAAATAAAAATAATAACAGTCCATCAAACAAACATTTTAAGAGGGTTTCTTAACTTTTTCTATCTTCAAATGTCATAATTTTTCACTCATATTAAAGGTTTTGGTCCAATCTGTGATTGAGCATCGTTACCAGTAAGGTAGACTTTCATAATAAAAGCCTCTGCTAATAAAAACAGGTTATAGGCTGAGATATAATCTATTTATGGTTTTGTCGCTCCAGAACCAGCTGTGTTTATTATTCCAAACTCAGAAATAGCAGGAGAGAGTTATTCATTACTGACGGTTTCAATGAATAATCACATCCTGTCGAAAAGTGGACGAAACACTGAATATTAAAACAGACACTGTTGATGTTTCCAACAGCAGATCATTACTGTGTCTCTGCTGCCAGACGGAAAATTATCGGGTGTCAGAACCTCGACTCTGAAAGCGATCTGGAGCGAAACCCAGTCATTAAAATCACACAGGAAGAGGTGATTATTAATGTAACCTGGAAAATAAATAGAACTGATTATCTCCAACTTTTGGAAGCAAAGGTTTGCAGAAACTAAACTCTACAGGAAGGGCTCCAACGTATTTTTGATTAAAGGTTAAGAATTGATCCCAGTGGTTTACCTGCGCTAAATGCCAGATCGACGACATGTTGTTGATGCTTTCTAAAGTCGCGATCGCCTCCTCAGTTCTGCCTTCGATGTCCAGAAGAACGGCGTACGCGATTTTCGCTTCATCTTCATAACCTTTCACAGCGGAAATCTGTGGACATAAAAACACACCTAACATCAGCAACAAGAGTTAGCATTTGAAGCTTTTCCTGTTTAACCCAAACGGTGTCGTCGACAACGCATTTTTACAAGCCAACTTTGCAGTACTGCAACTCTGGGATACTTTGCGCTTTCCAGCCGATATCGGGTCATTACGGTAATTTCACTCGCGCCTAGAAGGGAGCATGTTTTACTTTGGTTCACGCTGATGAAACACTCTTAATAGACAGTAAATGTCTAAATAACTGCTACATATTAAAAGCTCCAGCTGTTATGGAGAAATGGACAAAAATGTTTACTCACAGGACATTTAGAGAACTTTGTACAACTAAACTAAGCAAACATACCAAGGCGGAGATTTGAAACTGAGATCATAAAAGGTAAAAAGTGAAATTCTGAGTTTGATGACGACCTGAATGTCCTTAGAGGCGAAGTGTATGAAGAGAGGGTCCAGCGGTTCTGGTATGCTTCGTCTGATTTTTATTTTCTCCAGCAGCGGCATCACAACCCGCCAGTAGTGGACGCTGCGGCCGACGTACTCCTTCTGGTCGTAATACGAGTTCATGCCATCGCCCTGCGTTAATAATTACAGTTGAGAAAACATCAAGAAACATGTTGAGTTTCCAAACTGAAAGCGTTTAGACTGAGCGTACCGTCTGGCTCAGACTCTGAGCCCAGTGGATCATCAGCGCCGGCTGGAGCCCGTGTTTCTCTCCAGCTCTCAGCGTGTTCAGGCCGTGTTGCACAATCATCCGCAGTTTGGCCGACGTACCGGGACTGCAAGGAGGCAAATGTTAAAACTGAGCTCTCAGGGTACTGATGAATGTAAATTAAAGAAAAATCTCTTCAAGCACTGGAAAGAACTGGGTTTTAAAATGCTACTTCAGCAGTGATGCACTTCTTTGAAAAGAAATATTTAACTTTAAAACAGCTAACGCCTTTTAGAGAAACATATGGAAAGAGCCTGAAACAAAAAAAAAGGAAAATATAATTAAATATTTAGCCAATTAAAAACAAAAAGGAGTTTCGCCATCTGCAGATTTTAAAGATAAAAATTACATTTCTGACACTCACACGGCTCGTTTGTGGATGAGGCTGTAGACGGCGCCCCACCACTCCCTCTGCCGCTGCGTGGCGAGGAGGCGGAGCAGAGGAAGAGGAAGGCAGCGAGGCTCGAAGAGCTGCTGCCGCGGGCTCAGGCTGCGGTTGATCCTCGCCGTGTCCTGAAGCTGACAGTGGCTGCAGAAAACCACGCCGCATAAAAACGCCTGAACGGAGCAAACGGAGGACAGAGACGTTTAACACACAGTTCCCAGTTTATTGACAAAAAAATAAAACAATAAGTCTGAAAAGTCCTCAAACTTGCATTTGTTATTAGACCATTTTCATGGCATATTAATGCTAGAACACATTTTTCCTTACCACTGGAACTGGAAGACATTTTAAATGTCTAAAATAAATAAACAACAGAAACAACAAACATAATGACTTATGAAGCCTCTCTAAACAAAACTGTAAACAAACCAAAAGAACCTGTGAAGTCTGTGACAAAACGTAAAAATTGACGTTCACAGATCAATCTGACTGAGCTTGAACTCTTTTTGCAGAGACTGAACGAACTCCAGATGTGAGATCTTCCTTCCACTTCACTTACTGCTCAATCAATAATCAATCTGATTTAGATCTCCAGACAAGCTGATGGGCTCTCACCTCCAAGTCCAGCAGGCAGATCGACTCCGGCGCGTTGGTGTCAAGCTTGGACGTTTCCAGCGTCAGCCTGGGAAACAGCTGCTGCAGCCAGTCGCGCATGGGCGGCCTCTGGTCCAGCAGCATCCACTGCAGCCCCAGCCAGCTCAGGTGCTGCAGCTCCCCGCCGTGCAGCAAGATGGAGCCTAAAAACACAAAAAGTCATCACTCTACAGGAAGACAACTTCTTCTGGATGCTTTGATCCTGGAGGGACATTTTAAAGGTTTGTACCTGAGTCCCACTTGACCAGGTTGGAAAGCTCTGGACCCAATGAGCTGAGCGAGTGAATGTCGTCGTTGGCGATAAACGAGGACGCGGGGGAAGCCTGCGGACCCCAGAGGAGCTCGAACAGAGACTCCTGACCGCTACGGTTCCCAAACGCCTCCACCACCTGCACACAAACACGGTCACTACCACCAGGGGGCGCACACGGCTCCCACTGCGAAATTCAAGAGCGTTTCCAGCACCAAACTTTGGAGATAAAAACAGTTTAATTCACTATTATACAATATCATTTATTACTGTTAATACGTTTTCTGTATTCGACAAAGTAAACTAAACTATAACAAAATTTTACGTTTTGAAATGTCTCTGACCGGTCCGGGAACAAAACACTAATTTAACAACAAAACAATTTCTAAGTTAAGAAGTATTTCAATCTCTGACAGCAGAGTTTTTTATTGATTTATTGATTGTCCAAATTGGTCCAGAGTGTCAATATACTTTATTTTTGTTCTCATCTATGCTTTAGCGTTTGCCTACCAAGATGGCGGATCAGTGGAGCGGATCGTTTCCGGTTCAGACTTGTGGGAGCTATGTACAAATCATTGAGCCGATAGGAATAATAAATATGTTAAAAAATAAAAACTGTTCTTGCAAATTTTTGTAAATAGAAATAATTTTGGTAACTCTAGTTAGCCTAAAACAAGAAAAATTAATCAGATCTAACTTCAGACGGTGAGAAAAAAAAAAAGTCTTTGTATACCTATTCTGAACTGAAAAAAACGTTTTGCCCAAATGTTAGATTGGACTTTATTACAAAACTATGCAACTTAAACATAAACACTTTCAAGGATTTCATAGCATTTCTGCAAATGTTCATAATTAAAAACAATAATTCGCTAATAAAATGCTTTCAGCCTTTTGTCTTAACATCAGGAGTAAAATTCTGTCAAATTCAAATTTCTTTGCACATTTTGTTAAGACATACATTTGGATAAATCAGGACAGAAATAAGCCGACCTCTCTTATCAGAGTGAAGGTGTCGGCGCTCAGGTTGAACAGCATGTGTCCCGCCTGACTCTGCCGGTCGCTGGCCAGTAGCTCCAGCAGCTGCGGCGCCGACTGGTCCCTTTTGGTCACTTTAGTCTTTGGTCTGGGAGCCTGGTGCAAAACAGAGACAAGAAAATGTAAGGAAAATGTTTTCTAGACAAGTAAGACACTAAGAATTAAGAATAAAGCCCGTCTAAAAGCTTTTTATTAAAATATAAGATGCCAAAGTATTTTAAGTTTCTGTACATTACAGTAAATTTGAGGACATATGAAGAGAAATTGACTATTATAATTTTATATCTTGATCATAAGCAGAATTTAGGTAAACATAGGTTCAGTTTCACTATTTTACTAATGATTCAGTCTATTTTTCTATTTTAAGCATCAATTAAATGCAAATGAAATGGTCATGCTAATGCAAACGTGCATGAACAGCTTGATACTCAAAATCCTCAGAATCGTAAAGCATATTTCTGAAATAAATCCCAACCAAAAAAAGAAAACATTTCCATAACATCTATAATTTCTAGATTTTAATTTGATTTAATAACATTCAAAATATTTTAGAGCTAAATATTGAACAAATTGGATCCGTTCACATTTATTTTCCACAAATCATAAAACATAAAGAGAATAAACATAATAAAAAAAGTACACAAATTTAAAAAAATATAATAAATAAAACTAAAATACAGTAACTAGCTATGTGATATATAGATATGTATATTAAAAAGAGTGTGTTCAATAGGTAATAAAGGATAATTTCATGGTTTTTATACCATCTGGACTGAGATCAGCTTCATTTTAAAATCTATAAATTCAGGAGGTTTTTGAAATTAATCGTTTTTCAGACACCAAAAAAACATTAACTAATTGCAGAAAAACATCTAGGTTGTTTTCAGAAGCAGTAAAGACACAAATGAAAGTACAAAAATGTGCAAAATGTGATTGTTTTCTTGAATAGCTACATTTGGGTAATATTTAAGATAGTTTCCTTTTTATGCATGAAGCAACACCTAGCTCCTCCTCTAATGCTAAAATCTAAATGAACAGAAATGTAAATGAAATCCCTGTAAATGGTTTATAACTGCTTGAGGTCATCCATCTCCATGTTTGGGTCGGTACCGGAGCGACTCTTGGGTACCTGGTATGCCAGCAGGTAGCAGAGCGCGGCCAGGTCGATAACGGCTCTCCAGGCGTGCTGCCGGTCCTGAGCCATTTTCAGCAGCAGCGTGGCGGCATGCAGGTACAGGTGAGCCCTCATCTCCACAAACGCCTCTAGGAGTTCATCGGTGAAGAGCGCGGCGACGCCGCTCAGCGCCTGCATAGCTTGGTCGAAACTGAACAAAAACGCGAAACAAAAATCAGTTAAAGTTATTCTAAGTACTAGTTTTAGCTTTATTAAATAGCACCATCCGTAGACAGGTGTCAACTCTGAAACATTTTATAGACTTCCCAGATCCTCAGTACGTATTATTTATTACATAATCACATAATATTTGTCTCATGTTCTATCAAATAATTTGGAGCCAAACTACAATGACGCAAGAAATAATGTTTTAGAAAAGCTGAATGAACCAAGCTTTGCTAAAATGAATCGCATCCCTTCAACTTCCTCATTTTCTCGCATTAGAACCACAAACGTTTCTGCTTTTTATGTGAAAGGCCAACACAAAGTGTAAAGTCCACCTGATTTTTATTTAATTTCTGTATAAATGGTTTAATTTGCATTACAAAAGAGATGCATGTTGCAATAAGCAAAAAATCAATCACATTTACCAGGTAAATAATTTCCATTTGCATTATTATTATTATCCCTTCCTACTAAACACTGGAATACAAAAGGCTTTAATCTGGTTCTCTGGTCTCAATTTTTTGTGAAGTGAAATTTTGTTTACAGACACTTTTTGGTTTGTTTTGTTTCCTTATTTTGGATATTTAAAATGTCTTCCAGTTCCAATGTCAAATGTTCAACAGAATTTAAAGGTTACTGATCTTGTAGATGCCATTACCATCATGTTACTCGAAAATGGTCTCAAAACAACAATATTATTGTACATCATAATAACTTCTGAGACAATTTGAACCGCTGGGCCTGACCGACCTCCTGAATGCGTCGACGCTTGGCTGCACGCCGCTCTCGGATAGTCTGATTCGCAGCAGGCTGCAGTGCGCCAGCAGCACTTCTCTTTGGAGACGTCGACACATCTTCTCATTATTTGAAACGCTGGGCTGATCCAGATACTCCTGAAAGGAAAAAGAAAGCATTTATATTTAAAGGTGACCCATTGTGTTTCCCTGAACAGGTTAGGGTGGGTCTATGTACAATACAAAACAGGTTCATTACATTTAAAGCCTTTTGTTTTTCCCATCAGTCATATGAAGAGCTGTTTTAGGGCTTATTTCACTTTAAATCCTAAAAATATGCTGGCCACGCCCTCAACTCAAAGTTTACACTTGCATGTGAAAATGGCTGCAAAAGAGGCAAAATTATACAGCTGAACATCTTTGAAAAGAATTAATAGAGCCTCCTGCACAACCAACAAGAATGCAGCAATCAGCTTCTGGATGGCAGGTCAACAAGAGAACATCCAGCAGCCATTGTACAGCACAAACAGCTGAAAAACAGCTGACCAAAGCAAATGTGCTGGAGCGCTGCTTGGGTTGCTAGGTGACGGACTGTGCCTGCTCATTGGTGATGTAACATTCGGGCGGTTTTTGAAATGGCAAATTTTTCAGACACTAAAAACAGCTGGTTTGTTTTTTTTTTCTGTAAGAAAAAAAACAACCCTGTTTCTAGAAGTAGCTGAGACTCAGAACGACAAAAAATGTGCAAAAATATATAGACCCCGTTTAAGCCCTCTTCTTTTGTTTTGTAAGTTGAAACAGGTGTTTCAACGATCCCCAAAAAAATAAAATAAAATAAACAGAAAAATTTAAATTACAGATGTTCCACACTAAAAAAAAATAAAAAGAAAAGAGAGTCAAGTCCTGACCTGTAACGTGTTCAGCTGCACGTTGTACCAGTCCAGACTGTTGCGCAGCAAGCCCTTTTTCTCAGTAGCCAGACAATGTTCGACAGCCTCATCCAGCCGACCATCCTGGCAAAACAGCTGAACCAACTTTACATTCACCAGAGCGTCGGCCGGCCGGGCTGCCAGCTCAGTCTGGAGGAGGTCGAACAGCTGGTTCCAGCCCTGCTGGCCCTGACGGCTTAACAGGCGCTCCTGAATGGACACAGACAGTCGTGAGAACAAGGCAGCTGTTGATGCTGGACTTGCACAGCTGAAGGGCTATGGAGACGTTTCACTGGGTAAGAGCAGCTCTCACCTTTAAGTTGAAGACTTCTGGGCTCCCAGGCATGAGCTTTGCAGCTTTTTCCACCCAGAACTCAGCTTTGCTGTCGCAGTCTCCCTTACCAACGAACAGCTCGGCAACTTTCAGCACCAGGTCTCTCTGAACCGGGTTCAGGTCCACCGAGCGCTGCATGGAAACAGAAGTTAGGCTACCTTCACACTGCAGGCCTTAATGCTCACTTCTCCTTTTTTTTGTGAAGTCTGATTTTTCTTTTTGCCGTTGTCGGTTGTGTGGACTACAAAGTGTCACGCATGCGCAGTAGGGGGCGCAATAACGACACATAAAGAGAACTAGTGTTTTGCCAACCGCCATTAAAAAAAGAAGAAGTGCTCAGTGTTTGTGGAAGTAAACATGGATGCTAATGGTGGAGCATATCTTATGGTTTTAAAGTTGATATCCAACTTAAACCTTATTATTGTCTGCCATGTTTTCTGTTTTTATTCCTGCTTGCTCGTTTCAGGACGCAGAATAGTGAGAATAATATTATGAATACGACCTGCCCGATCAAGATTCAGATCACTTTTGAAAAAGATCGGATACCTATTGGATATGCCAGTGGCCTAGGTCGCATTCAAAAAAAATCCCAGGGTTTCACCCAGTATATTATAAGCCTGGCGGGCCACCAGGCTTTACTTGCAGCCCCACCAGGCTAAGCATTGCTTACCAATTCTTTGTTTTTTATCATTTGACTTTTTTAAGACTTTATAGTTGGGATTTAGGTATTTTAATAATCTCTTCCAATAACACATAATTACCCAATAATACTTTACATTTTTCTGTTAAAATTAAACTTTTTGTTTTACTCAAAAACATGGCAGATTGCTGAACGACTGCCCCATAGCACCCCTACCACTGGGCTTAGTAGGTTTGCTGGGGGAAACCCTGAATCCCATCTGTGTTGTTCAGACTAAATAAATACATAAATAAAAATAAAAATTGGATTTGGGTCACTTTATGCTGGGGCTCAAATGTAGGGCTGGATAATAAATCGGTTATATATATCACATGATCAATATCAACAGAAAATGTTTGAATATTCAATAATTTCACTGAACTCAAATCCAGAACCAAACAGCATTCTGGGGGATGTAGGCAGAGAAAATGGCCAGCTAAGCAAAATAAGTGGCATCAACTCATTCACTCTTTGGTTACCTAGCAACAATCTGTTAAGTAGCAGGCAGTTTCAAGGCCCCCCTTCTGCTCCCCACTTCGGTTGCCTAGCAACCTGTTGAGTAACTTCTGCAGCAGCAGTTTAAGTTTTCACCATAACTCTTTTAACAATAAACAGTGTGGAGCAAAAACTGGATGAGACAGGAAAGATCACAGCACCAGTTTAGCAGTATTTCAAATATTTAACAGAAAAAACTAATCAATAATAATCGATATCGACTGGTATGAAACACTTGTATCGTGATACGTTTTTCAGCCATATTGTCCAGCCTAATTTATCAGATTTCTCTTTAAGTCTATGGCTGTTGCA